AGCGCCAACATGCCGTCTCTGTTATCGACGAACGAGATAATTCGTCGTACGTGATCTGCGAGAGATGAAATTAATGTTACTCGAGCGCAGTACGTCAATGTTAACCTTGAACATTGTTGCAGATAAAGTACACGCTCGAAAATCGACCTTCCTGATTACGTGTATGTAATTTATTAAACAAGAAAAAAATATAACAAATTGGCGACTTAACTCCCTTAGAAGAAATTCACGACGCTCCGCGTCTCATTAAACATACACTCGTTCAATTTTTTATTCTTCTGTCGAACTGACAGCCACGATAAATCGCGACTAATAAAGCAATCCCTAATTGATCCAATTCGATTTGAGATCCCGGCGCTGGGGGAGAGAAGCGCCGGGGATAACGACGACGAAGGGTAACTCGTTCGCACGGTAGCCGCCTCTGGTATACGCATAAACGTGCAAAGTGTGCTGGAAACGAGCGTAGATTATCGGGGGTAACGTGTTCACGATCCGAGCGAGATGTCGTGCGCATGTAGGCCTAATATATTCAGATTTTTATGGCTGGTGGCGTATCGGTGATACGGCGGTTGGTCGGTCGGTCGGTCCACCCCCCCCTCCCCCCGGTTCCCCCGTTACGTTCGCTCGACGTCGCCGCTGCGGCGAGGCCTTCCTTCACGTACCACTTAAAGCGCGGGGTAGCCTAATGAATAAACAAAAACTAGATTTCGCTTAGGGCTTACACGTAAAAGCGTGACCTTACCGGCGATTTACCGTGGCGCCGCGGTTCTCAAATCGACCCGAACCCCTCCGTTTCGAAAATCTCAGATCTGTGAATCGATCTGGAATGACTGATCGAGATTTTGTATTTCTCTATTTAAGCTTCAAGTAGCGTGCTCTTATTCTTTTCCTCGATGTGACAAAATCTCTCCGATTTTCATAAATTTTTTAGTTCTAAGAGAAAGAAAGTTTAATTACCGGAAAAAGAAAATTGTTCTACTAATAATAATTATAATATAAAATGAAAAAAAAATGTATTTTTAACATAATGTGTTAAGTTTTAAATGGGAATAAGAAAAATTCCAAACATTCATGATAATAATAACCGGTTAACAAAGACTAGGAATCTAAGAAGAGATTGACGAAGCGTAGGCTACATCGTTTTCGAATTTTTATTTTATTAAGAGCGAGATTAAAAATTGCGTGTGTGTTCGTGACGTTTGCATGCGTTTACGATGGCGACAGGAAACGAGGAGAGAAAGAAAGACAGAAAGAAATAAAGGAAAAGAGAGCGGAACACGTGTTCATGAGAGTAACATCGGCAAAACACGTGGCACGCGAGAAACGCGACGACCCGGCCTCACCGTGGCCTCCGGTTCGTTTGATTTATAATAATCGCTCAATCCTCATTACGGGAGGCTTCATCCCCGCGGGACGCGGACCGATGAAATTGCCCGGCGAGCGTCGCCGTCGGGCCGAAAGTAATCCCCGTCTCGTGCACAAAAAGCTCATGCATTCTTCGCCGCTCGTTGCCGTCGTCGGGATCAGCCGACAACGCGATCGTAGCCCGTATACCTTTAACGAGTAAAACTTGACACCTTGAAATCGCCGCGCGATGGAATTTAGTAGCCCTTCGAGCTGCGACACATGCAATTCGCTTTCTTTTTTTTTTTTTTTTTTTTTTTTTTTCCTTTACGTAGAAGCCTCGAAGGCTCGTTGCCTTGCGTGGCGGATTTGCTGAAATCTTTACAGACTGGTTTACGTTGCACGAGGAAAGTGCGCGGAGGGAATTAACGAGAGAAACGAAAGGACGCGCGAAGACGTTATTTCGCCAGGCACACGTTCGGTCTTGAAAAGAATAGATGGTTCCCTCGATCGAAGCGATATAAATTAACGATTAGCTGGAAAGCGGAATAGATCGTCACGAGGACACAATGGATTAGGCATGACGATTGGGCATGAAGAAATGAGTTTTCATCAAGACTCCGTGCGGCGCATAGCCATTTCGACTATATGGATACCGCGTAACGTATGTAATAGTTACATCAGATTAAAACCTAGGGGGGGATGGAAGGGGGCGAGCGTGTAACCAGGCCTAATGCCGGGGTAAGCATCGAGTCACGGGGGTGGAGGCGGATCGTACTTATTACACGTATACCTCGAAACACGTCCTCGGTGCGCTACACACAACATACACACACACACACACACACACACACACACACACACACACACACACACACACACACACACACACACCTGCACGAAGGAAAGCAAGGGTAATCGCGCGAGGGTAAGGAGTCGCCGGTGGTCGCGCGAGGGCGGGCAAAGGGGTGTTTCGGTAATCGTGCATTAATTGCATCACAAAGTACACGCCACCCGCCACGTTACGCACGCATTCCACGTAGTTTTCCGCTCCTTCTATGTCCGGTGGCGAGTTCTCAAATCGCGATTCCTTACGCTGCGCGATCACCATTGGCCGCCGATTCGTCCGGAAATCAAAGGGATAATCTCCGTCGGCTGACGAATAACGGACCAGAGGAGACGCGAGTTTCCACCCCGTCGGACGACGACGATCCGTCGCGAAATTTCGTGCGCGGGTGCGGCGTAATTTATGCGATTAGCGTAAAAAAAAAAAAAACTGAAATATGAAAATGAAGTTGTCGGCGCTCGTCGAGAGAGTGCGGCCGCCGCGGCGCGGCCGATCTCGCCACGATCTGTTCGGGAATGAGAGTCACGGTTTGCGGCTACCGGCGGCAATATTTTGCCGCGCTTTGCCTTATCGGTACGATTGCATATTTAAGGGTTGCCATGTCAAGCGTCAAGCGCGCCCTTTGAATACATTTAAATTCATTAACGGCGAAGGCTATACTCCCGCTATACTCTATAACACGTCGCACGGATAAGAACAACACGCACACACGGCGCGCACGGGCGTTTCGCGATACGCCGCGCCGCGAAGGATCTAATATACGGCGATGCGCACTCTACGTTTCACGTTGCGCATACCGCACCGGTTCTGCATCAGTTTGCCGTTAAATCTTAAAGACCGCATACTCGTTCTGTTTCAGATACGGCACGTGATCCTCCGTCGTCATGCCGCACACTGGTGAGTAGACCACTCGCTCCTCTCCCAGATTTTTCAAAATTGGACTGTCATTTCTTGCCTGAAACGTCAACGAGAGAATACTCCGAGGATCTTACACAGTTTTCATAGACGTTCGCTCCTCTCAGATTTTTCAAAACTGGACTGTCATTTCTTGCCTGAAACGTCAACGAGAATATTCCGAGGATCTTACACAGTTTTTATGATTAATTATTCGAGTCGATTCTTTCTTAGTGAGACTATCGAAGAAAATTATGATTTATTGCAACTTTCTAAGTTCTATGTGTATCTTCATAATTAAACTTCAATTTAAAATCCTATTAAAGTAAAAAGAATCTATTGCTATTAACTGAGAAATATAGAGTTTTGTTATCTAGTTATCTTCTTAAAGTTTAATTTACGAAGAATTCTCTTTCTTCAACTGCTTACAACTCGAAAATTACCGATGTTTTGATTTTTGTTAAAATTGAGTTTATATTGACCAAAGAATCTATTATTAAAATTAAAATTATATGATGCATATTTCACTGAGATTGAGAATTCTATAATAAAATCAAGCAAAATTTTTAGTAAATAATCGAGTATTTTAATTTATGATATGACGGTGACATTATTAATAAGGAAATAGTAGACTTGTCGTGATTGTAATGTCTTTCAGAAATTTTGAGAAAGATGCGATTAAGGATTAAATCGTTAAGTCGTCTCAAAGCGCAAAATGCTAATTTTTATTCGCGAAAAACATCGCGTCGGCAGATCGCAAACAGCAGCCAGTTTACTAAATAGCCAATCTCATCGTGCGATTCGGTCGGCTTCGCTTCCTGATTTATGCGAGAGAGAATGTAACACGTCGTTATGGTTTCTTCAGGACGGGGTCAGCTACCGTCGCGTCGGCGAGATCAGAGGACGAAATCGGTAGTGAAAATAAAAATTTCTACCTTCCTCCTCTTTCCCTACGGAGAGGAGTCCTCCCTCTCTTCGGTTCAGGCTCAAGGCTAAATTACGATTTGAAAGGCAGTTTGACAGTAATTAACGAAGAATTTTATATCGTGGATCGAACGCCGAGATCTATAGGCCTATTATTAAACGAGCATAATTATAATCTACCGTCTCTCCTCTCTGTTTTCCTCCTCGCTACGCTGGCCTGATGCCCCGTGTAAAGAATCCCGCCTGGATCCTGATCGAGCGATCAATCTTTCCTTCTTTCAGCGAGATACTGGCGAGAAGTCTTCGAAATTGGAGAAAGTATTCTCCGTTCCGGTTATCACGGTCTTCCACATACTCGGAACATTAATATTGATTAATTTCGCCAATATTAATCTCGGCCGACATCTCATGAAATTTCTGACGATCCTTAACAGCACTTCTAGATCATCCTGCGAAATCGTAGGAGAAATGTCATTTAACAATTTCGCCGTACAAATTTTGTAAATAAATTTAAAGTATTATTAAACAAATTATGCTGATAATTATTATTATTATGTCGAAAAAATTATTTGAAAGAGGCTATATTTAGTCGGTCGATGTTATCGAGCTCTTCGACATGCACTTTACAGATTCAATGTTACTTTTTAATTATCAGCGAGTTCACGTTACATATGTTCCTCTTAATTATCAGCAACATCCGAGTCGCGGATAATCATTGGAGCGATAAACGCTTAATAACAGCCGCCGTAGTTAACCATCTTGATACACTTCCATTTAAGGCTATCCCTCGCGTGTCTTCTTTTAAGACAGACGATGAGACGGAGGCGATAGCGAGCGAGTCGAACGGGGTGACCGATGCGTGCCGATTCGGCATCGATTCGAAATGGCAAATCGCGATTCCCGATGCTCGCGGCGTGCCTCGCTCTCGTCAGAGAGAGAGAGAGAGAAGAAAAAAAATCTGTTAGCGTGGATCGTGATTACAGGTAGGCAGGTGTAGAGTTTGGTTGGAGGGCCTAAATGGCCAGGGCGATAGCGATCGTTGTTGGCGATCGCATTAGCCGACTAATTCTAAGCTAAGCCGGTATTATATCTCGAGAGATATTCCTTTTATGCACTCGCGAAGGAACCCCCATACTCGTAATTTGACAATTTGCACTCTGTTAGGAAAACATATTGGGAGAAACATGAGAGGAGGATTGAATATATCGCTATCCTACAAAATTATAATCTTTAATACGTATAATTGTACGGGAGAAATTAATCGTTTTAAAAAATTTCATCAAATTCTCTCGATATAATAAGAAGGGAAAAGAGAGAAAACAAGCATATAAAATAAAACAAACTCGCACAAGTATTTTTTGTATATCTTATTTATGTTAAAAGAAAATTATGAAAGACACGTACTTAGAAAATAATTTTCATAAATATTTATGAAATGTAATTCTTCATTTTGTTAATCACATTTATATAATAGAAAGAACACAGAACACATATAAAACAGAAATAATTCGTAAGTATTCATTGACTTGAACAAATTATAACTTTTTTATGAATGATGAATTCAAAAGAGAGAACGGGGCTATTCTAAAAAAAAAAAAACTAATGCGGTCATTCCGTAAACGGAAAGTACTCATCACGCTGGCATATAACATCTGTTTAATAAACTAGATCTGCACATCCGATTTGCGTTTACGAGAAGCGCGCGGTTTATCGCGTCTTTAATTATTGCAAAGGCCTCTTTATTAACATGCTATGCCGTTATCAGAGATAACAGTTATTTTGACCGCGATTACGCTCGCGTTGCAGTCCATAAAGTATTTCCGAGCCGTTTTTTTTTCCAGTTCCATCCCGCCCACCTTCTCACTTTGGTCCTTTTGCAAATCTCGCGTTTCCGGTATTTCGATTTCGATGCGTTCGCTTTTTGTTTCGCGTAAAATGAGTGGTTCCGTGCTATTTGCGATGCGCGGCGCAGTCAGAATCGCGCCGTTAACGCGCGGTTCCATTATTTCGGCGGATCCACCGGCAGATTTGCAGTTAGATAAAGACGCCATTTCGGCCGGTTTTTGCCGTAATAATAATTTGGCCCGCTGTGTCCGTCGCTTACGCATCGCCGTCTTCCGCTGTCCGAAACGCGTAGCGTGTATAATTTCCGTGGTGCGCGATCGCAGATTGGTGTGCACGGTAGAACGAATGGAAGATGCATTACGGCATAAATAATTAATCAATTACGTAAGACGGTTGAAAAAGTATTAGCTTGACGATAATGCGTAAAGCGTTCTTCGTTCTTCCTCCCTAAATCTTACTCTACTACCGACGCTAACAAAATTTTTTATTTTTTTTTTTTTATTTATTAACGAACAAACGTATCGCCTTGTGTGCATCAAACAGGTTTAATACGGCCGCTAATAAATAAGGTACATGCGAGCACGCGAGACGCGAATTCCCCGGAAGTAATTTCTACGAAAAGTAATTTCTCCAAAAATGAATCTTACCGGCCGTGTGTCTCTGTCACCAATCGAAAGACCCTTAAATTATCCAATAAGGGCAATCCGTCACGCCTTCGACTGGTGGTCATTATCAGCAATTCCCACTTCGTGCCGCCACTGTGAGCGTCGCGAGCGAGGACGTCATGAAATTGCAGGAGCCTTTCGTAATTTCGGCCGGGACATAATGACTCTTTTGCAGATTGCACTTGCACTCGAATAAACGGCGCTAATGGCCGCTTTAATTGGGAGAACCTTCGCCATCTTTATCTTCCTTAACTTTAGAATTCTACATACATGTGCAAACAATTGGAAAGTAAAATTACTAGGAATTATTTCAGATATAAAATCTCCAGAGGCATATAAAAAATCGACAAATCACGAGTATAATTACGCTGATTATTTCCTTCCCACAGTGGAAGATGATTTCTTTGGGGAATAAAAATCACGGGAGTAAAATCACGATCGTCCATCAATTAGCCCGTAAAACGTCAAATAAAGCCCGGATTCGAGGAATCCGGGAGTAATGGCGACGGAAAAGATTGACGAAAACCTTTTCTTTGGCCCGAATACTCGCTCGAGATCGTTATTTCTCAGGCTGGTTCCAAGGCTCGTCGGCATCAGTGATCGTGGTAATGACATAATTAGTTGGCGCGGATAATAATTAGCGATCGTCCTGGTACGCGCTGCTCGTTCGCCGCATCCGCTACGTGAAGGCGCGTGGCTCGATTTATATAAGTCGCCCGTGGCATTTATGTTTTTCGTCTTTTTAGTCCTCTTTTATATTTTCTTTCACGAGGGAGAGATCGTCGTTAGTAACGCCGCTTCTGCATGTGGCCTCCGTTTCTCTTTCGCCCTCTTCCTCTCCCGCTCTTCGGCTCTCTTATGTCGATAATAATCGCGGAGAATAAAACCGATTATTCCCATTACGCGGCAAGTTATTATTCGTTAAACTTATATATCTGGTTGATGTTTATCTTCACGGCGCAGAACCGCAACCGGATTGCGATCGTGTCCCTAAGCCTACCTCCTTTATTTCAATCGCATTGCGATAATATTATTACGATTGCAACGATTTTTAATTTGCGTCGTGATAAGGAGTTACATTATTAAAGTTTGATAGTGAAATTTCAAAAGGCACAAAAATGTATGTTCCTCGTATGATTAGTCTTACATAATAATGACAGGTTGATCAAGGCAAGAATTTTTTTAATTTAAATTTCACGCTGCTCACGAAAGTTGTTGACGCAGACTTATGACAGATCATTGGATTAATAAACTGAATATTAACTGATAGAGATTCCCATGAAATTCCCATGAAATTCCCTAATAATTATGCCGTTAACTAATAATCGATGAAAACTACCGAGACGACCTGAAAATTAAGAATTCTTCGCATGTCGAATAGGCCGATCGAAAATTTATGACACGCTTTAATTTAATGGCGGCCCGTTCCGCGATCTTTCCGAGCTTCCTCGTCCGACAATTTCGTGTATCTTCGACCTCGTCCACAAAGAGGAGACAAACCAACGAGACTACCGTATATAACTCAGATTTTATTCGACGCCTTAATGCGTGTCGAGCCGCGAATCGTTTAAGCGCTCATTTTCGACGATGGAACATAAAATCGGTGATCAATTGACGTTTTTATTCGCGCGAGACGAGCCGGCCTTTATGGTTTTACGACACCACTGCGGGGGAATAATGTCGGTTTTATAAAATTTTCGACAAGTGCGCCGCGTCGGTTATACGATGTGCAATGCGTAAATAAACTTGTCGTTCGCCATGATTTAAGCCTGCGACACATTGTATGCGTACACGCTGGCCAATATGAAAATTACGCGATTAAACATTTTATGAATGTAGATATTAAGAAAGAAAGAAAACAGTTTCTAAAACGACTCGCGAGACGTTTTTTATTCCAATTAACTTTTTACGCTTCACTGTTTAAACTGCATTCTGACTCTTCATCGCCATTATGTTGATTTTATGTTGATATCAGTTCCGAAACTGCTACATCGACATTTAACATACGGTGTTTTAAAATGGTGAAATTTTACCGAACAGAAAGTTGCTTTATAGTAAATCATCGTCTAATTACATATTCAAAAGTTGACGAAATTTTCAAGGAGAATTATAGTGAGGAACCAAATAATGATAGCGCATAAACAGGAAGTCATTTATGTCACCTTCTCAAACAAAATATATTTATTTAGTGGAATGTCAAAGCGCGTTTTAACGAACATTTAATATCCCCGTTGCATAAAACCAACCAATTAACCTACTACTTAGCCCACGTTAATTGCGAGAGTAAATTTTCGAGCAAAGACGTCGGGATTTCACTGTAAACGCGATTTCCTTCCTGACATTATCGAAAAATAATGATACGTCTTTGCCGAACGGAAAGGGAGGGAAAGGGAGGGAAGAGGTCCTTTCCGTGGATATTCGTCGTAACAATGTCATTAGAGGGCCTGCTAGCCAGGACCCGCACGTCGGAAGGTGCACCTGCCGATCTTCCCGAACGACCGCGAGCGCATTATTAGCAGATTCCCGACTGTCCTCCTCTGAATCAATAAACACCTTTTGCCGTTCCATCGACGCGAAAAGTCTCGAGTCGCCGGTCGGGCGATTTGGGCTTGTCGTTAATCGCGCCATTGTTACGTCGCCCTATTAACACCAATAACGTGACTGACCGACTGACTGTTCCAGGACAAGCCGGGGTGAATCAATTAGGCGGCGTCTTTGTGAACGGCAGACCGTTGCCGGACTGCGTGCGCCAGAGAATCGTGCAGCTCGCCATGGTCGGCGTCAGGCCGTGTGATATTTCCCGACAGCTACTCGTGTCCCATGGTTGCGTCTCCAAGATACTCACGAGATTCTACGAGACGGGAAGCATCCGACCTGGCAGCATCGGCGGAAGCAAGACGAAGGTAAGACCTGATTGAAGACTGCAATTTTTCGAGAACATTAGGGTGCATCTTTAGGATTTGATGGAGTTTTTCGGAGTTTTTCGGAGTTGGCGAACGATAATTTATAAACAGCGTATACTTGCATATCTCTTGAAATATAATTATGTATTTTTTCTTATGAATTACTGATTTATTTATTATTATGCGTATGAAAATAAGAATATTTTTTTGTGCACATAAGATATTTTATATTTTATAATATCTAATGTAATAATATCTAGAATAAAATATGAAATATGAAATAAAATAAATCGGGAAAATTAATAATACAGTCGGATTTGTTTAATTCGAATTAACTCAAGGAAATTGATAATAATTCGAGTTATAATGATTTTCGAGAAAAAAATTGACTTTGAAAGGTTTAAATGCAATTTAATGACACTAGCATTATGTAATATAACCGTATAGATTGTCAATTATTTAAAGTTATATAACAAAATAAAAAATATTTTTCAATAACTCGATATAGCAAGAATATGATACATTGAATATAAATTCAATACCCTTTGAAAGGCTATTATATAATTATATAAAATTTTCTCTTTTTTGCAAATTTAATTAGTTAGTTAAAATGATTTTACGAAATTTTCAAATTAGAGATTCGACTATATTAATTTTTATGACTTGTATTATTAAAACTTAATATCTACTGAGAAAATAATGAAAAAATGCAATTTAAAATAAAAATGTGAAAATAAGACCATCGAGCATTTGGCAAAATGCGCGGTAAGAACGCGATTCAGGAAAAGATTAATGTCGGTAGCTTTGCAAAAACACGTGAAAACGAACGATCACGCATCCGTGTGCATTAGGTGGGCGAGAGAGTCTGATGAAAGTCAGTCCTCCCCCGGCACGCACAAGAGTCCCTGCACTCAGGTATACCTGATGTGATTTTAAGTAAGGGCTGTGTTTTGACCGTGCGTGCAATTATCCAAACACCTTGCAGTGAGCGTACATGAAACATTTGCATAATTTCATAGTTTTGCACGGTTTTCTTGCTCATCCTCTTCTTGATCGAGGAACGTGTAAATTCGATCCCTCATCGATTCCACATCGATCGATATTGAAAGGGAATTGCCGCCCTTCCGTTCTGCCGATATCGCGAAGGTGAGGTTTCATCTCGGGACGAAAAATTGATTTCACGAGATTGTGGGACATTGGGACGTTTCTATCGTTCAATCGCGATCGTGCTCATCGTGAAATTTAACGAGTCACAATTTTTTACCGCATGGCATATTCGCTCGTCTGGCCGCTGGGGGGGAACGCCATTTTGCCCCCCAGGCACGCATCGCGAAGCTGCACGGACGCTCGCGGTATCGCGCACACACGCCGCTAATGACAATATAATTGCACAGTGCGTATATGTACCGAGAATATCTTACGATGCATGGACTCTGTGCGTTTCGGCTTAATGAATTTATTTTAATAACGCCGCATCAGCGTGCGTCGACCTTCCTCAAGTTGCGAGCTCGAGTT